AGACACTCCAGGGTATCTCTTAAGGTGCATATTGTGCCTTAACATGCCCCCATTTTTTCACTAATATATGCTAAAGTATGTGATAAAAAATCATTTTGTGCGTTTTTTACATATGGACTGCATTTTTGCTGGGCATTTTGTGTATTTCACATGTGCCACTAAGTTCAAACCCCCCAAATTATGCTCGGTAAGTCTTCTGAGTAAAAAGACACCCCCAATGAATGTCTTTGGCACTATTTCGTGAAGCTACAGTTCCATATAGGAGACCCAGCCATATCAGTTTTTACCGAACTTTGAATTTTGACGCTGGGCCTAAGTGCAATTTCTATAAGCCATATCAGTTTTTACCGAACTTTTAATTTTGACGCTGGGCCTAAGTGCAATTTCTTAACAGGGTTTAAATTCAAACTACCCCTAACATTTTTTAAAGTAGACACCCCAGGGTATTTCAAAAGGCATATTTTGAACCTTAGCGTGGGATCATTTTTCCCTTGCTTGTACCAAGTGTAGTGGTAATAAGTGTTTTTTCTGCCTTTTTGACACACAAAGTGAGTTTGCACAGTATATGTTGCAAACCTTATGTGTGCTACCAGTGTATAATACTTCATATGTTGCTCAGCTATGTTGGCTGAGTACAGCAAAACCACCGTATGTACCTTTGCCAGGTATATGTGGACACATTTGGGACACAGCCATTCCAGTTGTTTTCAAACTTTACACTTTTACGCTGTGCCCATGTCCGATTATAGAGTATTTTACCAGGCTATATAATCCAAATACCCCATTAAGCCATACCATTTCTTAAAGAAGACATCCCGGGGTATTTCAAAAGGCATATTTTGAACCTTAGCATGGGATAATTTTTCCACTAGCTTGTACCAAGTGTAGCGGTAATAAGTGTTTTTTCTGCCTTTTTGACACACAAAGTGAGTTTGCATAGTATATTTTGCAAACCTTATGTGCTACGACTGTATAATACTTCATATGTTGCTCAGCTATGTCGTCTGAGTACAGCAAAACCACCGTATGTACCTTTGCCAGGTATATGTGGATGTTGAAGGGGTGTATTTGAGATGCAGCCAGTTTTTTTCTAACTTTGAAGTTTTACACTGTGTCCATGTTCCAGTTTGGAGTAGTTTAGACGGTTGGTTATTGAAACTTCCCCACAAACACATACTATTTATTAAAGAATACACCCTGGGGTAATTCAAAAGGCATATTTTGAACCTTAGCGTGGGATCATTTTTTCTCTAGTTTGTTCCAGGTATAGTGGCAATGAGCGTTTTTAAATGTATTTTTGTACTTTTTGAAACTTTTTTTACTTTTATAAACTAGTTTTTAAACTTTTGTTTTGCTTATTAATTTTTTAAACTTTCCTAAACTTTCTTAAAACTTTGTTTTACAGATTTAACATTTTTCTAAGCTTTTTTTTTTACCGTTAACCCTTAACTAGCAGTAAGCAGCACTAACAGTAAATTCCCCATTTTCCTATAACTCCCACCCCAGCTAGCAAAATATATAATTATAAAATATTTAAATTAATTAAATTGAACCAGAGGGTTAAAAAATAAATAAAAGTTAATCTTTAGGGATTAAACAAAAAATTAGATCACAGTATAATACTGTGATCTGTATTTTGATCACTGTAGGCAGTGATCAACTGACAGGGAAGGGGTTAATTTTTATTTGGACTGGGTAAGGAGGGTGTTTTTTTTATTTTTTACTTATTAAAACTTTTTTTTTAGCTTAATTTTTAACTTTTTAAAGTTTATTTTAAAACTTTTTTTAACGTTAACCCCTAGTTAGCCTAACACCAAATCCCCCAATTCCTCACTAACTTCCACCCACCCTAGCTAGCTAAATATATAATTTTTAAATATTTAAATTAATTACATAAATTTAACCCCTAAGGGTTAAAAAAAGAATTAACCCTCAGGGACTAAAAATAAAATAAAAAATCAGATGACAGTAAAATGTAATCCCTGCCAATTGATAAATGTAGTCAGTGATCAATTGGCAGGGAATGGGTTAATTTTTAATTAAAATGAGTAAAGGGGGGTGGGATTTTAAATAAACTTTTTTTTTTTTTAACAGGGGGCAGGATCAGCACTGTTCCGGCTCCCTGCACTTCACATAGAACCAGGAAGTGCAGGGAGGCGGAAAGTGAGTATAGGCAGCACATGTGCTCGCATATGTGCTGGGGCAGCCTGATCAGGTGCTCCCAGTCTGCCTCTAATATAGAAGCAGACCGGAGAACCATTAACCCCACGATCGCAGCAATCCGGGGTTAATTTTAACGGGTGACGGACGAGGTCCGTCGCTCGTCGTTATGGCAATCCCCTGAGTGACGGACCTCGTCTGTCACTCATCGTTAAGGGGTTAATATATGCATTGGATCTAAGATCTGTGTTTGAACTGAGTAATCCTCCCACACATGCACTTCAGGATTAGCAATTAACAACTTTAGTTGGACTGCAGGTATTACTGAACCTGTCTGAGTATCCCTCTCACTGGAGAGAAGCAGTCCAGATTTCCAAAATGGAAGCTGGTAATGTTCAATAACAGTTAATAGTGATTATATGTGCATACCTATGCATATACATGAGATATGGTGTTACCAAAATGTTTCTCTTGCCAGGTACCACTGATCAGGATACTGAATGTTTTTATGTTTGGTGGCAGTGGTTAACCTTAATATGTATTCCTGATTTAAGATGATCAGCATAGTAGACCCTGCTGTTTACAGGTGCACTACTTGGGCTATTTATTGCTCCCATGAGTTGGTAACTTTTAAGCAATTACCTAACTTTTCACTGGTATGCTTTACTGTCTCTAATCTAAGTTAACTTTAATTTTAAATCTGTTGATATTGGCCTTTTGTTTCACCTGGTCATAACTTTAGTGATCGTGTTTTATTTTATGCAAAATTGTACTTTGAAAAAATCACTAATCCTGGTCTGGTTTATAATTTTAATTCAGATTTCAGCTCAATGCTCTGCAGGGTTTAGAATATTCTTTAGAATTGAGTTAACTTTCTTAACACATAATCTTTATAAGTTGAAAAATGTGTTATTTGTTAAATACAGTATTCTGCTATGTTATCCCTTGGGGACCTTGTGTTTGGGAATCCATTTAATGTCAATGCTGGCATTCATTTGGTTCTTAAGGGAGTTAAGTATCAGACTTACCCACAGATTTCCCTGTTGTGAAGGGGAACATTACATTTCCTTTCTGCAATAAAACGTCTTACTTTGGGCTCATATGCTCTATCTAACTTTGATGCTGGTTATTGCAGGTGTTCTAAATGACATCGGAAGGTCCTTCAGTCACCAGACCATTCTACCAGGTTTACTATTTCAGGTAAAATTTACCTGCGACTAGAACAATAAGGGAAATTGCTAAACATGAAGTCCCATTACTGACCTCTGTTCTGAAGTTCAAAGGGATTCTTCTAGGTGTCCAATCTGGACTTCGCAGCCAATGTATGACTTTAAGCTGTTGTGTCATTCTGCATAATATAATATCATAGCTTGTTTGTGACAAACACTTTGCTGATATGTTTCACATGGTCTCTGTACCTAGATCCGTTATATGTGATGGTCATTCCTAACATTGCATTATAATTCTTGTGGATTATATGCTTGGACTGGTGTTGATTAGAGTTGAGCGGACACCTGGATGTTCGGGTCTGGCAAGTTCGGCCGAACTTTGAAAAAAAGTGCGGGTTCGGGATCGAACTTGACCCCGAAACCAAACCCCTTTGAAGTCAATGGGGATCCAAACTTTTGGGCACAAAAATGCCTCTAAAAAAGTCCTGGAAAGGGCTAGAGGGCTGCAAAAGGAAGTAAAATGGGGGTAAGAGTAGGACAAGTGCCCTGCAAACAAATGTGGATAGGGAAATCACTTAAAATAATAAAAATTAAAAATAAAGCTTAGCCATAAAATAGCACTAGATGGAATCTTTGATTTTTAGCTTTGGAAGAACATAAATCAAAATCTAAAGCATGGCTGTCAGGAGGATCACCACAATTATCCATTTGAGAGAGGGTGCAGGGTATTCTCTTTCATTGTTCAAACTGAGCTCAACTCCTAAAGCATGGAGAAATGGCCTTCACAAGCCTCTGCTATTGTGTACATAGTTTATACTAAGTGACCCATACGTTGAGGAGGCGGTGACCGTGGCGGTGTAGGTGGAAGGGGCGGTGGAGGAGGAGGAGGTAGTCAACACTGTTTTTTGTTTGTTTTTTTATTTTATTTATTTTTTTAATTGGGGTAGCCCCCAAAATATTGGGACATATAAAAAAAGAAAACTTTGTTCCGCAGAGCGACTGACCCGTGCGTGCTGCAGCTGAAACTCCACTATCGCCTGCTGCTGCTCGCAGTCTCATGAGGCGGTGAGTGGGAAGGCCGAAGTTATGCTGCAGCGCAGACAGGCTCTGATATATCTGGGTAGTTTTTCAGGAATTTCTGCACCACCAAATTCAGCACATGCGCCAGGCAAGAAATGTGCGTCAAACCGGCTAGGCCCAGAGCTGCTACGAGATTTCGCCCATTATCGCACACCACCAGGCCGGGCTTGAGGCTCAGTGGCAACAACCACTCATCCGTCTGTTGTTCCATGCCCGTCCACAGCTCCTGCGCGGTGTGACGGGGTATGAGTTTGAAAACAGCCTGCTGTCGTTTCCCCCTGGCTGTGTTGAAGTGCCAGTGCCTACTCCAAGACGTGGACCCCAGCGACTGGGTCACCATCCTGGCCAGCAAACTAGTGGGGAAGGCAGCAGATATTTACCGGGCTGTACCAGAAGAGCAGATCAGAGACTGCCCCTTTATTACCCAAATCCTCCTGGCCCAGTATGCGGTTACCCCTGAGCAATACTGCCGAAAATTTAGGGAGACCCGGAAAGGGGAGAAGGACTCCCATGTGGAGTGGGCATGCCCCATCACAAGGGTCACCCAGAACTGCCTCAACTCCCATCAAGTCAAGTTCCTGGAGGAGATCACCCAGCTTGTCATGCTAGAGGACTTTTTCAATGGGCTCCCCAACGATAAGGCGATGACGCATTCGTATGTCATCCATATCAACTTTCGATGCCACTTTCTGCACCTACCACGGTGACCACGTGTAACGGGGAATCCAGGTTTGATTCCGGAGAGGGAGCCTGAGAAAAGGCTACCACATGCAAGGAAGGCAGCAGGCGCGCAAATGACTCACGCCTGATGCGGGACGGTAGTGATGACAAATAACAATACAGGACTCTTTAGAGGCCCTGTAGTTGTAATGAGTCCACTTGAAATCCTTTAACTCTGACCAATTGGAGGGCAAGTCTGGTGCAGAGCGACTGACCCGTGTGTGCTGCAGCTGAAACTCCACTATCGCCTGCTGCTGCTCGCACAGTCTCTCCAGCATGTGCAAGGTGGAGTCCCACCTTGTCGGCACATCGCATATGAGGTGGCGAGCGGGAAGGCCAAAGTTACGCTGCAGCACAGACAGAGGAGCAGCAGCAGGGTGAGAACGCCGAAAGCACGCACAGCCGCTACAGTGAATGTCACATCCTGTTCCAAGTTGCGGATCAGTCTGGTGATGGCTTCTGGTATTCAGTACTCTTTTTACTGAAGCTGCATCAGGGTCCTGGTATGTGGCCGCACAAACGTTGGTGCTAAACACCAGGGGGCGTGCGGTTACCCTGCACCAGACCCTGCTAATCCATTCCACACTGTGAATTCTAACTTCATCATCAGGCATACCGGGTCCCGGTCGTCTGACCGCCGCCCTGACAGTGTCTGGGTCCCGGTCACCAGACTGCGAAACTGCGAATGGCTCATTAAATCTGTTATGGTTCATTTTATCGCTCCATCTGTTACTTGGTCAGCTGTGGGAATTCTAAAGATAATACATGCCGACGGGCGCGAGGGGACGGCCGCTCCGCTTTTGCACCCTGCTCCCTCTTATGCTGTGCTGGTGCCTTCGTGCGACCAGCTCTTCTTCCACCAAACTGAACATGTCACTCACATCACCTTGATCCATGTGGGGTCTAGGACATCCTCATCCTCCACATCATCTTCCACCCACTCCTCAACCCTGCCCTTCTTGCCAGTCTGCACACTGCAGAAAGCCACAACAGTTGGCACCTGTGTTTTTCCAGCATGTAAACTCTGCAAAGCACATGTGGGAATTGTTTTAGAATTGTATCCAGGCAACAGTTTTCCCTATAAACTGACCTCTCAGTTTGACTTGTGAGGGTATTACCCCCAAATTCCAATATTGTTATATAGTTATTTGACAGTTCTACTTGACTCTCAGATATGATGTGCACCGCAGGCCGCAAATGTACTATTTAGCAGCCAAAAAATTTGAATGTTTAAAACTGCCATGTCACAGCACTATTTGACGGTTCTATTTGACCTTTAGATATGAAGAGCACGCCCCAAATTTACTATTTAGCAGATTAACACCCAGAAAATAAGAATGTTTACAATTGCGCTGTAACCGCACTATTTGACTCTCAGATATGAAGAGCACGCCCCAAATTTACTATTTAGCAGATTAGCACCCAGAAAATAAGAATGTTTACAATTGCGCTGTAACTGCAGTATTTGACGCTTCTATTTGACTCTCGGATATGAAGTGCACCCCACTAATGTACTAGTTTGCAGAATTCTTTCCTAATCTGTCCCTGAAAGCTGCAGCATCCTCCCCCTACACTAATAAGAGCTCATGTGACGTGCGGCGCTACGTGACTCCAGCTTATAGATAGAGGCTGGGTCACATGATGCACTGGCCAATCACAGCCATGCCATTAGCAGGCATGGCTGTGATGGCTTCTAAGGGCAAACGAGTCAAATGCTTATTGATTGGCTGCCCTGCAGCCTTTCAAAACGCGCGATTAAATCGGCGAACACCAAACTCCAACATGAACAAACAGTAATATGTCCGGGTTCCAAAAAACTTAATGTTCGGTACGAACCCGAACTTTACAGTCCGGGTTCACTCAACTCTAGTGACATAAAACAAACTGCAGAATGATCTTATCACCACCATAGACTCAGCCGTAAGTACCTCATCACTATCTGAAGGTATGGCCAGTGTAAGTATGCGGTTGCTTGTTCTCATAAGAACAACTGAATATCTTCTACTCTCCTACTTATTACATGTCTGTTACAACCTTTTAATTGGTGTCCTGCCTATTGCCTATCTCCTACTGACATTGCACAGCAGTCTTTAATCATTTTGATTCTTCTGTTTGGCACAATCTGTACTATTTACAATATTTTTTACTTTGCATGTAGGTCCTGACGTTGTTGGCCTACATTACCTACTTATAATCTAGTAGTTGCCACAATTTTTATGGTTCATACTGATATTTTTTAAACTTATCTGAATGATGTGATTCTTCATGACTTTGCCTAGTAATATCTACTTGTGTTATTGGTTTCTACCTCTCCTGTAACTGTTCATTACTGCATCAAACAATTCATTCACAGTGGGAGGTATTGTTGAGAGTCTGATTTTTGTAATCTATAGTCATTATTGCTGTGTTTTAATAACAGACTCTTATTTCTCTACTAGGCTCTGCCTTTCTCTTACAGGAAGATATTATTTTGTTTCCTGTGTCTACAGGTAAGTAGTACACTAAGCAAGACGAAGCGGTGTGCATTGTCTTCAATAAATACATCCAGCAAATAGAAGGATTTTCAGTTTAATTCTCACCCTGCTATAAAACAGGGGGTGACTGTTTTCATCCAACTCTTTCTAAAATTTCATGGATTGTTCCAGTCTGATTTCAGAAAGCTATGTCTTTGTCAAGGTTCTGTTTGATACCGCCATCCATTTGGTATTTAATTTTATATTTGAGAAGGACATTATAATTCTAGGCCGTGTCTTGGTTTTATGGAGTTTACTATATATATATTTTTATTCTCCATAACAGGACAGGTGTCTTTTTCTTACAGGAGTTTGTATTGTATTAGTCTAACCTTGTTTCTTCAATAGGTCTGGTTATCATGACCTTAATGCCTATCTGGTTCTATATTTCTCCAGGGTATTTCTGACATTTGAATAACAGGGGGTAGCAGCCCCTAGGGTAAATTTACTTTTCTGAACAGATTTTAGGACAATATCCTATTGATTACTGTTTGGATTTTTAAAGTCTTTTAAGGTTTATGCAGCTCAATGATAAATTTTATAACTTTTAGCTGTATAACACACACACATACATACATACATACACTGCTTGGGTATTACCCATGAGTAAATGCTGCTATGATTAATCAGGAATATGAAAAATTGTTCCATACTTATCGTCATTTTCTTTTCCTGATCATTATTAATGGCAACATTACGTTCCCACCCATCTTCTATAAGAGTTGTAAAACCAGTTACATTGACTGCCTGAAGGGAAGAGGGAGGATCTATTTATACCACTTTCAGAGTTCTATTTCCGGTCCTTTATGCTGTGAGGGGATGAGCTAACCCATGAGTAAATACTACAGAAGAAAAGACCGGAACTATGAAAGTGGTATAAATGATCAGGAAAAGAAAATTATGGTAAGTATGAAACAATTTTCCATAATATGTACACATACACCTATTCACATATACGGTGCATACATGTATGCATGTATACACACACACACAAATATATACACATAAACACGTATACATATACATACACACAAACACATATGTGAAGAAATTACTCCTTGTATGTAGTAATTTAGATTTTTCTTCGTTTGGTAGATAAAACTACCGAACACCGTCCACCCCCCTGGCTCATTAAATACAAAGAAGACCGCAAATTAAGTGCGCTCTCTGTGTGGCCGCCGTTCAAGAGTATCTGTGTGTCTTATTTTATTTCTCCAAGCGCTTGAACTTACAATTTGGTTTCCGCTGATCATATCTCTAGGTTATTTTTATCCCTATAATAGCTGAACGCCACGTGCATGAGAAAATGGCAGCCATCTTGGTCGCACGAAAGGAAGGCAGCAGGACTTGGTCGTCGAGTGTCTGGAACTAAAATTGGACACTCTACTTTCCAAACGCTGGTCAACTTCGCGAATGCCTGCTTCTTTTCATCGACCAGCCAGGAGAGCGCTATTCAGTAGGTTTGTTCCCACGAACTAGGGGAACCGTTCGTGGGTTTGTTCGGTTTTTAGACTTCCTGAAGGTCGGCCAAATTAGGACTTCCATGGAACTCCCGAACCGATCTGGGTGATTTTTTTACTATGTTGGTCCCCCAGATCAGGGCTATCAGGGGATATAATAAGGTTTGGGGTACTTTCTGGGGTTTGTGAAAATGTGTTTATTTAAAAACCTTAGTAATGTCATGGAGTCTTGACATTACTAAGGTTTTTAAATGATTTTTACTGGCAACCAGATTTTATTTTAGTAACATGTGATGTCACTTCTCTATATAACATAATCCCTCACCAACTTGGTTTTCAAGCTATAAAAACTATCCTTTCAGAAGAAAAAAGAATTCCTGATATTCAAATTGATTTTATTGTGGAGGGTATTAACATTATTTTAAATAACAATTATTTCTGGTTCTCTGGTTCTTTTTACCTTCAGAAGCGAGGGGCAGCTATGGGGAACAGGTTTGCCAACCTGTTTAAGTGCCATTTGGGGGAGGCACGCCTGGCAACATAGCCTGGTCTCCAATTTTAGATATATTGAAGATTTATTTTTTATATGGAAGGGCTCTGAGGACTCTCTCAATTCTTTTATAACCCACCTCAACACTAACAATAGAGGTATCAACTTATCTTGTGAGTATAGTAAAGACACAATCAACTTTTTAGATTGAAATATTTTTTTATTAAAGATGGGGAAGTTCACACAAATTTTTTTTTAAAAAGTATGTACCAATACAGCAATAGACCAAACCAGCTGTCACTATCAGAGAGCACTATCAGCTGTTTTTTTATATACCCCATTCCTAAGAGTTGGACATCATTCCCTCCAGAAGAGAACAACCCATATATCCCATAAGCGGGGATCATACCGCTGTACGCCTGTTATACCTGAGCTGGCTATAGCTCTCCTAAATGTGAGTTTAATATATATATCCTTCTTCTCACATACATTGACCCACACAGTCTATACGATCGGTCTTTATTTTGTGTATTCCATATCACGAGAATAATCGGACTACTATAAACAGTGAGGACACCCCACCACCAAAAGCACCTTAAAAGACACTTATCGCCAGAGTGCAATTTTAAACTATCTTGGACTTA